ATTTATAATTCGGTCGAAAATTTATTTTTATGTTCAAGTCAAACAAAAAATCAATTTCTGCTACAATCACCAGCAGACAATATTCGAAATCATTCCGCGTTAGAGGCAAAGCTGTATAGTCATGCTCTCTGAGCGTGAGTATTGAGCGATTTGAGAATTAATCTTCGAGCATTATGGTCGAAGGAATTAATGATGAAGGAAGTATCAAGATATGATTAAGATCATAGGCCGGTATTCAGAGTCGTTACTTATTTTTAAGATCATCTCTGAATGATGCTCGTGCTCTGAATACACTGAATATACCGGCCTCAGTTTCTCTCTGACAACACCATCGGAACCTGGGCCATGAGCAAATGCTCTCATTTCCTCTCTGTTATCATATAAGCCTTGGTTGTTTCCTTTCTCTGAAGTAGTAAGTACGTGATTTTAAATTTCAAATGTTTTCACATGGCCGTTAGCTGCCGTTAGCCGCCAGCAGCCGCCAGTTCGACAAGGAGTTCGATGGAGTTCGACGAGTTTGACCAAGTTCGACCGTCCGCCCGCATTCACATTGATAGAATGAATAGTTCATCTCATGTATATAATTGTTTAAAAGTGGCTACAACATTTGTCAGTAAAGTGAATCAAGTGAAAGTATTTACTCAGAGTAGTATAACTGTACATTTGAAGCTACATAACAAGTTTATAATTGTATATTAATTATATAAATCTTTATAATGATGACTGTAAGCGCATCATTCCATCGCAATGTATATTTGTTAACTCAACTAGTTGAACCTAATGGCGATTTCAAGAAACACTTCCGTGAGGTATACGTTTTATAAAGGATATGATAATCTTAAATATAATATTTGCTTATCATCCGAAAATATTTACAATTCAATTTTTTAATTTATTTTTCAGGGTATGTTTGACAAGCCCAACACAACAGGATTCTTACATATATCTCATTATTTGTTAACTATATACGATTCAGATCAGTTTCAAAAACTATTTGAGTGGCCAGTAATTTGCAAGAAAACTGAGTTAAAGTATCGTAATAGTGTCAAAGATTATTTAACAGTTATATCTCAGGAAAATCCTGATATTGGTTTCCCAAATATTCTGAATTCTCACTTAATTCATGCAGGTGGAAGTAAATTTACAATCATTATGTGGAAATTATCTGAAGTAGTTGTAAGGAGATATATTATCCGACAAAGTAAGAAAACAATATACTTCCGCATCTAAGTATTCTTTCTTTCATATAC